ATACAACACAAATCTACTGTAGCTGCCTCTTGCTTAAATATTGTACCAGTATGAATAAATCAGTAACTTCCAATCATTTCATTCAGAAATCAAATTCAGGGTCAAATTAAGCAACATTTCTGGTACACAGTGATTCGATATATGTATAGCTGTCAGCTATCTATTGTGCTGGCTGACTAACAGGACCGGTAGAACAATGTTTCTTGTGTGTGTAAAATACAGTATTTGTGTTAGAATTAACCTTTTAGAATTGAAGTTACTCCTTCCAGCAGAATTCAGCAATAAAGGTGAATGGCAGCGATGGACTGCTCTTCTGGATTAGGTGCCGGTAACAAATTTGACTTGAGAAAGCAGCACTTAGCAATTTACGAATATCTATTGCCCATGACAGTAACACATCCTGGACCCAAAACCTCTTTGAAATAGGTAGGCTCTGAAATTTAATTCATATATTTAAGCAATAATTCTTACCTAGAGCGAATTCTCACCGAAAGATTACATCTTGCAACTAACACCCATTTATCACTTAGTCAAGATTACATGTGTAATTTTTTTCACATGACAAACAACTCTATTTCATCATTAAATTGAAAGAACACTCAAAACAGAAATCCACATTTTTGTTACTATATATACACCAAAGCCTAGTTCTACAAATGCCTCCTGGTATCTTGCCCAAGCAGCTGTTCTTCATGTGAAAGACCAGACCATTAGTGATAACATTAACAGTTTTTTCAGTCCATATGTACAATATCTCAATTCATAGCTGCAGATGTGCAGATAAATTCTGTTCTCAATGAGCAAGCTGAAGTAAATGAATACAATAGTAAAACTTAAGTATAATGTGATATTCTTTTTTGGAGTCATTTCTAAGTAAAATCTAAGATCCTCCAACTCTAACTATCCTTTGGAAGAACTCCCTACCTCTTTGTCTTCTTGCTGTAATATTTTTTTTAAAAAACAAGTTTCGCCCCACATGAGGACTTCGTGAATTATATAATTTCTTCGGTATTTTTCTCAATTAACTTCTCAACACAACAGTTTCAAAGAAGGATGACAATCAGAATTACGAGCCCCACCCATGTACTGGTCGGTTGGAAATTTCTGATGTAAAGGGTTCCACAATCCCAGAACTGGAACTACTCAATATGCAAGGAAATACTAATCTTTGATGAAGGTCAGATTTAAAATGCTATAAGTAATTTTAGCTTCAAAAAGACATTGATAAATTGTAGAAGGTCAGCAATGATTACAAAGATAAGTACAGTTGGTAATACTTGAATGTGGTGTGGAACATGATTGTTCCTGAACTGCTAAGAACTAGGAAACGTCATGACAAGCCAAAACTGGTCCAGACGAAGGAAGAAACTTTGCAAAATCTTTTAACAGATTAAATGGATTAGAGTTAATGATTGACGAGACTGCACATTTGTTTGCTGAAGAACAGAAACACAGTTGAAAAACTAACACAATGATATTGAGATGGAAAGAGAGAGAAAAATCTACAATGGACAACATGAAGTGAGATCAAACAGACACTACTGAATCAGTTAATAAACTAAAAGTGCTCAGATTGGTATAATGATCCCTTTCTCTTAACTAAACCAATTTTAGTCCCTTTAGTTAATACGTTTAAAGCAGGAATATGCTTTTGTGTCTAAATTTGGCTTTTGAAGACACCAGCATTAGCATGTTCAGTTCATTTTGTATTTTTCTAAAGGAAGAAAAAGTTCAGTAAAGATGCAGATTTAAATTTTGGTCAATCCGACCACTGAAAGCTCCACTTTGCTTATCCTACAAAAACTGGAAAAGATAATGTGCATATGGAAGCTAAGGCAGCAAATATAGTTTTGTATAGCTAAATATTTAATTTTAAAAGATCAGCATCCACTTGAATTATACAGAATTCAAATATCTTGAGATGTCCCATAAAATTATGTACAATGCAGAAAAGGACTATAAAATGTGTAGAGGCACCAAGTAGGCATGATTAATCAGAGCACACGGTAATGCAGTATTCTCATTCCACAAGCAAAGAAAATTGAAATCAGCAGACAAATGCAATTTAAATTTCTTTTTACCTCAAACACTTCTAGCATCTTCATCAGCTGAAGGCACAAATTATTATACTGCATAACAGATTTGTTTATGGGCTTCTAACACTCTTATCACGTTTCATTATGTTTGTAATGCTGGTTGGACACTCAAGAAAAACAAGAAATGGCAATTTGGCCATTTAAAAACCCTTTCAAAGATTGTGATTACCCAAACAAACTCTATCCAACCACTCATTGTTCCAAGGGAATTTTTTTCACAATTGGTTCCTCAATCCAAAGGTAAATCAAAACAAAGCTCCAGAAGATTTGTTCATTTGTATTTTTCAGTTCTGGATTGCTACCGTCCAGAAGCATTCTCCTCTACAAACATTCTCCTCTGATGTAAATGTATATATCCTGTTCTAATTGACCTGCAATCAATTTCAAATTTTGACCACTTTGATCACACGTAACCAGCACATAGGAAGTATTTGATCATTTTAGTCTACACCTAAACTTATATCACTTCAAGATAATTCCCAAAATGTCATTTATCTATCTTTGAAGGAGTTAATTAACATACCATTAACTGTTTTTACTTTTGAGTCTGTTCTCAAATCCGCAATCTCACAGGAGGCACTGATTCTGTATTTTTTTTTGGAATAATGCCATTGGATATTTAGTATCCCTCTGAACAGACAACAACAAGAAGATTGCATTTATAGAGCTATTGGTCTGACTTCTCACTCCTATAACTATTATGTAATGATTGGTGTAGGAAAACTCACTTGGGCATATATCCAGTGGGATCAGGACTGGAATGAATTTTAATATCTCCCAATGGTCACATATTTTGCTGACACTGGCCGTCTAGGCTCACATGTGAAGAAATGTCCAATCGAGTGAGGTACCTGATGAGAATCACTTCCTAAGTTTATAAATTAAGAAAATTAACTGGGTTTACTGTTGGAGGCTTCAGTGCCCATTCAACCCATACCAACCATACCAAAGGGGAGAAAATTGAGATAATTAATCTTGGGAAATCTAATTATGGGATACAGCTCTTTGCATCAGCCCATTTAATACCAGACCTTCTGTATATCAGAAATCAATTGCAGACAATACATTCAATCCTTTTCTGAAGAATTTTCAACTCAATGTGTTCATTGCAAAAACCACAAAGTTTCCATGTTCTCAGAATACTATCTATCATTTTAATCTAGCAGATTGGACCTGGAGAGATTTAAACAACATTTCAAATAGTTAGACTTTTATTGTTCAAATTATTTAAATGAGATACAGAAATGTTAGTGAAATAATTCAGAGGACAATATCTTGCCATATTATACGTTCTAGAACTAGATCATGTAAATTTGTTCTTTGGAAAAAGGGGCTAGTAGTTTAATCTTTTTTTTACCCTTTTTGGGGAAAAAAAATCCTAAAAATGGTTACTGTTGGCAGTTAAAACTGTTTTTGTGCATGCGTAAGGTAATGATCAAAAGTTCTAGAACGCACTGTTGCCAACCAACGTCGCGCACACCTCTCCTCCCACTCCCTCTTCGAACCCCTCCAGTCCGGTTTCCGCCCTGCCCACAGAACAGACACTGCGCTTGTGAAAGTCACAAACGACATCCTCTCTATCTGTGACCATGGCTCCCTCTGCCTCCTTGTCCTCCTGGACCTCTCCGCTGTGTTCGACACAGTCGATTATGCCATCCTCCTCCACTGCCTTTCCTCCGTCATCCACCTCAGTGGGACTGCACTCGCCTGGTTCGAGTCCTACCTCACAAACCGCCAGCAGTACATCTGCACAAACGGCTTCTCCTCCCGCTCTCACCCGGTCACCTGCGGGGTACCCCAAGGATCCATCCTTGGCCCCCCCTTCTTTCTGATCTACATGCTCCCTCTTGGGGATGTCATCCGCAGACATGGGGTACATTTCCACATGTATGCAGATGACACCCAACTCTATTTTTCCACCTCTCTTTGCGATTCCCAGTCCCCTGATGTTCCGACAGCCTGCCTGTCAGATCTCAGGGGCTGGATGAACGCAAACTTCCTTCAGCTGAACACTGACAAGATGGAAGCCATACTCTTTGGCTCTCGTCAACGTCTAAAATCTCACGGCTCTCACCTCCTCCACTTCCTCCTAAAACTCTCCGAACCCGTACGCAACCTAGGCGACAGGTTCAACCCCAATTATCCTTCCTCCTCCACATCCGGTCCCTCACCAGCACTACTTTCTTTCACCTCCGACGCATCGCCCATCTCCGCCAATACCTCTCCCCAAAAGCCGCTGAAACCCTGGTCCATGCCTTTGTCACCTCTCGGCTGGATTACTCTAACACCCTCCTCAACGGTCTCCCATCCATTACCATCCATAAAATCCAAATCATTTAAAACTCTGCCACCCACATTCTCACCCGCACGAAACTCCGCTCCCCGATCACCCCAGTTCTTGCCAGACTGCATTGGCTGCCTATCCCAGAGAGGATTGATTTCAAGATCCTCACCCTTGTATTCAAGTCCCTGCACTCCTCTGCACTCCCCTACCTCTCTGACCTCCTCTCTCCTCAAAACAGTACCCGTTGCCTTCGTTCCTCCGGGTCTGGCCTCCTCCTCGTCCCCCGAGTCCTCCGCTCCACCCTCGGCGGCCGTGCCTTCAGCCACTATGCCCCAAGGCTCTGGAACTGCCTTCCTCATTCCCTTTGTCTCGCTTCCTCCCTTCCCATTTTCAGGTCTCTGCTGAAGAACTTTCTGTTCGACCGCGCCTTTGGTCACCTTCCTCCCCCTCCCCCTGGCTCGGCCCCGGGAACCATTACTGTAAAGCGTTCTGAGACGCCATCCTGCGTAGAGGACGCTATATAAATCCAAGTTGTTGTTGTTGATCACTGCATCAAAGATAATAAAATGACTTGAATCTTTTATAGTAAACTGTTTCAAGGCATACTCCATTGATCTTACCTAATTTCGGAAAGACAATCAAATATTCAGCATTGCACTGTGGACATGCTACTCTTGCGGTGCTGTTTCCTCTTTGCTTCTCATCTACCCATCGCTGAAGACAAGTCTGATGAACCCATTTGGTGGATCCTCTGCACCTGCAAGGCCTCACCCATTCAGCCGTCCGATCATCTTCATCAGTAGCAAAACACACCCAGCAACTCCTAAATGAAGAAAAAACATTTATATTTCTGGAAAGAAATATTGATGTTGAGCTTCCGTTCCTTTACCAATAATCAATTCCTGTTGATTTAGCAGGAATGGAGTTGAAATACATGAAGATAATTTGTTAATTTTTAATGTTGTGCTAATATATTATTATAAAGAAGAAAAATCTACAATGGACAACATGATAAATGCATAACTAATTAATATAAGTTCAAATTTGCATAATCTGTACACTTAAAAGAAACCAAAATCATTTAGGTTTAAACAAAAAACTATAGTAAACTGAAATGCAAAACATTTTAAATTGTAAAATGCACTAGTTGGAGTGAGATGCATACTATGATACACAAATATATGGGGGTACGGGGGAGGAACCTCTCCTCAGTCTGGATGTACTCAGTTTATTAGCATTTCAGAAGTTCCAGATCTTAACAAATTTCTAAATCTTGTCTAAATTTTGATTTTGAAGCTGCTTTCTTTAACTTACTTTGAGAGCTATACAAAATGGGCTTCAAAATGAAGGCTAAATTTAACAATTTACCAAACTGTGGATGATTTGAAGCTACTTAAACACAGTAAATTCAAATCAAGATAGAATATTTTCTGGCATCTGCCATCCACCTTGCGAGGGTTCAAACTCATGCTTATTGGATGTCAAATGACCAACTAGTGATTATCCTCCCAGGGGAGGGGGTAAAGTGGTATCTCCTTGGAGCTGAATTGGCTACAAGGCAACATGTTTGACATTGGAATGTCAGAATCAAGCTAACCCTCTGTGGCAGTCTCAATAGTCCAGTTACTGAGCTATATGTGGGTCCACTTTACTTCAACCAGTCTGGCTCATTGGCAAGACTTGGAAGTGCAGACCAGTCAATGAGTGGGATGCTTTGCCCCCCAGCTCCTGTCAATCGTGCAAGCCAAAGACCCACCCTCCCTCCCAATCTACTTTCTACAAATATTGACACCTGTACTTTGAGGAATAAGGACTGAACATTAATTCATAGACATATGTCACTCGTTTAACATAAAACAATTAAAAGGCACACGGGTGAAAAAATTACTATGGTAAAAATAATCTCCACGGGCAATTTAACAAACTATGAAAGCGCACGGCATAATTCATATTCAAACACAAAGGTGATCTTTTGCCCCCTTAAAAAATCCTCTGCAAAATTATGCTTCAACAGTTTTCTATGCTAACTGATCAAATAATGATCAATATCATTACTATATCAGTTTTGCAGAAAAAGTTTACCAATTTCATTGCTGCTATTTTGATATATCTGCTTTGAATGAAATCTAAAATGGGGTTTTAAAACTTGTATTCAAAATATTTACAGGCATCTGGAACATTTTAAATAAAATATTAAAACTTTACTAAATATTGAGGCAGTAATACAGTAATGTACTCAGAGCCTCGACTATAACCAATTATATACAAAACAACAGATGCCTGAAAGTGTGTTGCAAATCTGAAATGATCTTCTAAATGTTAGTGCTGGGAATTAACTTTTTATACATTAGGCAACCATTTTGGAACCATAAATGGAACTTACAGTCTGGTTTGGATACTTAAACATCATGATAGGTTTCCACATGGGTCAGACCATAAGACCAAAAAGAAGACAACCATTTTGAAAATCCCATAAGGCACTAAAGTTAGAAATTAAGTGTAGATACAGTTACAACAATTGATCAGGAAGTCAATGTAACGTTTTAGCTCTATCTTACTATATTTGTACATATTACAGAAATTTAAAGGTGTAAAATGAGTACCATCTGATGGCTTTACCGCTGATAATTCATTATGATCGACCCCCAAAATAATATTTAAAATAATAATAATCCTTGCATTTGATAAAGAGATTTTCACGTCTTCTAGACGGCTCAAAGCGCTTCACAGAATATACTGTCAAGTGAATTGACTATTTGTGGGTGAAATGCGCAGCAAATTGCGCACAGCAGTGTCCCACAAACAGTCGTGGAATGAGTGACCAAATTTTTATTGTTTTATTTAGGGATTATTATCTCCGGAAAAGCGATCCGCCAATCGACTAACAACCGGGTCCCTACTTATTGCTAGGTAAATTGAGGTATGTGGAGTAAGAAATCTTGACCAACATTTCATCCTGCCAGGAATAGAACCTAAGTCACTCGCTTGTGAGGCGAGTGTTCTAACCACTGAGCTACAGGACTCAATAAAATAAAGACATTTACATGAGCCCCATAATAATTTAATCACATAATTTCAGAGCCTTAATAGTCTATATCTCTACATACATTATAATATATTATATTCTATTTTGCAAGTTAAGAGACACTGTCTTTCAAACTAAAACTAAAGCTATTTTAAAGGTTTAAATTGCCTGGAACCAACACTCTCACATATTCTAAAACATATTATGACAAAAAATATTGTCAGTTTTGTTCTACTTGCTTTAAATTCAGGAGACAACATGAAGGGTTAAGGCAAAACTCAGAGCACATCATGAAGGTGGAAGAGAGTTAGAGGAAAAAACAAAAACAAAGCCTGTAGATTCTAAGATGGAGGGAAGAAATTAGTTCCAAAGCTTTGAGACCCTAGAAAATGAACATGTAAAAAAGGCATATTTGAAGTTTGGAGAGACAAAAAAGTTAGCCCAGAGAAGTAATGAGCATAATGGTATTCAATAAAGACAAGAAAGATTGTATTGGAGGATGGAGATGTAAAGGATGATCTATCATTGGTCTTGTTTTTCTCTCCTGTTTCATTTTGATTATGTAAGGCAGATCGAAAAACAAAATCACATGTAAAATCTTGATGCAGTTTAAGCAATAATATTTTAGCTTCATGACATTTGTTTTAAAAAAAGCGAGAAAATATTTTATGAGCAATATTAAAACAATGGATATTTTAATGCCATAATTTTAAAAAGGTCATAATCTTAAACATTGGATAAAATTTCTTTACCAGCAATAAATCTGGTGTATTAATAAAACAGATAGTATATTTAATTTTCATGAACTAATTATGATTTGATCTGTTATACATACATTGCACAGTAAAGCAACTGCTTTATATAAAAGGAACCCTTCTCAATGTTTATCTGTCATTAAAGAAAACTTAAAACAAAGAACCAAAATACTCTGGTAGGAGGCTGGACTTATTCAAACTGGTTTATACAAATTATACACTGTAGTTTAGTTCTCGGGAAGGCCATGAAACAGCTTAGAATTGAATCACATGATGTTGTGTGTATAATTAATCCCAGAAAGGATTGTAAATAATGAATAGAAAATCTGTAGCATTCTGTCATCATGCTTATCTCATTCTGTTAACAGTGGTGAGGGGAATAAAAGAGAGGAGTACTTTCGCTAGATAAAACCTTTTCAACCCAAGCACCTCAGCTCTTGCCAGATTTTCCATTTTCTTGCATTGAATAAAACATGACCTTGATACAGTAACTGAATTAGGTCAGTACTCGGATAACAAAGTGAAACAGGAAAAACCCGCTAGGTGAAACCTTTTGTGAAAACAAAGCTTCATTTCTTATGGTAACTCAAACCTCCTTCCTGGATGAAAAAAATCAATACCCTTAATGTATTTTGTTCTGCTGTATACTCAGTAGCTTCAAAGAGGATGATGATGACATTTTTGCTGTTCAACCCACAAAAAATTCCTTATATAACTGGTGCATACAGAATTCACTTGTCAGCTAAACATTTCAGTCTACTTTAAGATAATTGCAAGTTGCTATCAACAGAAAATTACAAATATTAAGTTCTGTCATACACTAATACTACAATATTTTACGGGCTACTGATAAAAAATTGGGATACAGAAAGCAAACAGAAGATTTTATAGAAAATATGCATAGACTGAAAACTATGCCTTCCTTTTATCTTCTGGTAAATCCAAATTACATCCTCTATATTTGCCAATAAATTGGTCTCTCAGATATCCGACTGCTTCAAGGTACACAAGTAGCAAACAACTAACCCTCTATAGGTACAACACTGTAGTATGAATATTCAAGAGTAGAGCTCCAAAGGAAATATTATGTATTTTAGCACTGTGAGAAAATATTATACAACAAACTCAGCTTTCCTATATGATATAACAAATGAGTAATACTTGCACTTAAATGCACTACTCACAATTTTCTGAATTTGTATTCAATGGCACTTTACTCACCAAATTGATGACATGATGTGGAGGTCGGTAATTACTACAACAAAGAATCCATTTTATGCAAATGATGAAAGCAAAGAATGCTCAGGAATCAAATGCTTTGTACTTATTGTCTGCCTAGGACTATGAAAGGCCCAAAACTAAAACTATTACATTACTGAGTGAGATAACTACCATTCTAAGATATTCTCAGCATTTAAACAGTTTATTCTGAACAAATCAGGTCAAATAAAAATAGTGACTTGATTCATTTAAATTAATAGAATCAGTATGCAAAAACTTCACATAGAACCCATTTTATTTGGAACTAATTCTGTTCTAATAACAAAAATTCTGTTGGTGCCATTTAGATCACCATTTTATTGCATAGGATTAAATCCACGGGGTGCTATTTTTCAGTAGGCCAAATTCACTTGAGCATGCAGTGTGCATTAATGACAACAGAAATTAGGTGGTTAATGTTTAAAAACTACATTAATTGACATCCAATACTCCACCCTGTATTTTCACCAAGGTGAAAACTTTTGCAATATACATATAAAATATATATGGGATGATTAAGGTCATGTTCTATGTGTAGACAAGACAGTGCCATTACAGGAACCGAGTGCTCTGGAGTCTGTAGCAAAGGAACAATGACAGAGGTTGTCGAGACGCTGTAACAAACTGCTAGAGCTGGTATAGAAGGGACTACATCAGTGAGCACAGCAATACGTCCAGCTGTGAAAAACAATTACTCTGTTAAATCAGTCATCAGTTGCTTGTCATATCAATGATTGCCATATCACATGCTTTATGTTAAATACACATCTTGTAATGATTACA